ATAAATTGTCTCATGCCAGTGATGCGGCTGCCTTATCCAGCTTTTGTTTTGCATGAGGTTTGTTCCTATTAATTATATCTTCAATACATAAAGGTACTTAAGTTTAACTTACAGGCAGTGGTTCTAGGGCCATATGTTTTTGAATGAGACCTTAAGTAGCTTTTAAAACGGAAAAGCAAGCTTAACAATGGCAGTAGTGGGATGGACTGGGGACATATGATGGAAGTTCCACTTATGCTCCCCTGCTGACACATGTGTTGCCCCACCTGCAGGTGCTCGTGCACAAGGTGTGCAAAGAATCAATCCCCTGACAAAAGAGAAGATAGTATATCCTTTCCCTTTTCTCCAATGCCCTTTTCAGTTTGCCCAAACAATAATGATAAATACATACTTGCTATGTGAAATTGTGAGCTGTAATTTTTAAGCACATGATATGCAGAATACTGTTGCTTCCCTAATTCTCTGGGGTGCGTGAGAACTTGAGAACTATATGGCACTTTAGGTTTTCTGCATTACTTTGTCGCCATAGCATCTCTCTCTGGTTCCATTCCAATTTTATGCTCGTTTTAAATTTAGAAGATATTTCTTTCTTTCATTTGCAAAAGAGTGTTAATAAGATCACTTTTCTCTTCATGAAACTTGTATTAATGTGGATCAGTTCCACTGATTGTGTTCTTTGCAATCAATATGAACTATCTACAAAGGCTTCATCTCATAAGTCTTTTGCTCTCTCCCATCTCAAAATTGTGTTGTTTCTTTTAATTGCAATCTGTAAATTGATACATATTTTATTCAAAATTGTGCAGTGTGCACTTCACACTTTGTGGTGATGTTCACTGCTGGCTGTGGCTCAGGGAGAATCAAACGCACATGCAATGCCTACATCTCCCAGTCAACTAGAAGTCTGAGATCATTACTGAAAGAGCATGTATGATACAGACGTACAGTAAGCTTTTATATAGTGTTTGTACTCTCTGGAAAGTTGTTACAGCCATTTATAATTTTGATTCAAGGCTTTTTTTTCCTTGCAATGGTCGTAAATTATATGCTTTCTTTAAGAGCTCCTTAGTGGCGATTCGTAATTCCAGGGTGATGATTTTGGAACATACATGCTGATCTATAATCCTAACTTGGTAAATGTTGTGATTCTGGTTAGATTAACCTAACTTAAACTGCTAAAATTTGAATTGAAAAATGAGGCAAGCCACACTGGTGAAATCTCTACGAGGAATTCAATTCTATCACTAGATAATCATTTACTTCAAATTATTGCTTCAGAGATTTTTATATTAAATCTGATTTAGTTGTAGATTTTAGCAGTTCAAACAAGCAGGCAACAGTTATGTGATTAATTATGACTGTTTTGGCCTTCATTTATTCTTTTCAGGAGTAGAGAATCAAGTATGATCTGCTAAATGAAAAATATGATTCCTGTTTTATATTCAAACATACAGCATCATTAATATGTTACTCTAAAGAAAGTTCCATTTACCATTTTGTAATATTTGCTTTTCGCGAATGATGGTGTATAGGATGTTTGTTTCTCCATGCCACTTTGCAATGCTAAAGTGGAGCAAGCCACTACCGAAGATCTGGTGGAGCTCTCAGAGATTGAAAAGCATAATTTGGGCCAGGTTTGAGCCTGTGTTTTGTCTTTAGCAGTCTTTTCGTGTCTTTTCTGAATTCTGCCCTGAGCAGGACTGCATATTTTGCTTGCTGTTAGATATTCAGGTTGAAATAATTGGTGCTATTTCTGTGGGCAAAGACATCTTTGTTGAGGGGTTGAACTGTTGGCTTGTTAAACATTCCTATATGAAAAATCTGAGGCATTCTCCAGGGATCTTTAGAGGTCTCTTTTATCTAATAAAATGTTCAACTTAAAATGCTTATGCCTAATGTGTTTTTCTTTTTCTTTTTTCATTTTCTAAATTTATATCACTTATAATTTTGTAAATGACATGTGTAGTTGTTGAAAATGAAAGTAAATTTGGAAAATGATAGTGGAAGTATGTCACCAGTTGGAAGTATAACAAGTTTTCAAACTTGTATCATATCTTTGCTATCCTTTTTCAAAATGTTCTTTTATTCTTAAGGATTAAACCTGAATTTTCTTTTTGTCCTTAAACATATAAATTTAGAAGATAAAAATTAAAAAAATGCTTTCACGTAGCATTGACATCTAACACCATTAGGTGCCTATGACTTCAACTTCTAGCAAGTATATTTTTGGGTGACATGGTAATCGTGGATTTTCACCACCCTAGATCAGATGTGTCACTGAGTTTTGCTTGACATGTTTCAGTGCACCGGAAATGTTTTCTATACGTCTTTTAAGTCAATAAAGTTTCCTTCTGCTTGCAAATATTGAGAATCCCTGTTGCTTGTAAATACTGATTGTTTTCTTTTTTAAATTAATGCAGACTCGTCGCCTGAGTTCCTTTTCTGACATAGATAATACTCCAGAATCTTTGCTTGCGCTCAGTGGAAATGCAAATGTACACAGTTTGTTTGATTTTTTATTAAATTATAGGTAAGAGGATGTCCCTTTTTGTTGCGAAGGTTGGAGATGATTCTTTCAGTAACTAGGGTTTTATTTTCATTGGAACTCTAATTGCACAGGTTGTCGTTCAATTTTAATAATTCCTTAATATCTTTTTCCCCAGTTCTTATTTTCTCATGGTTTTTGTCAGGTCATCCTTGAGCTTTATGACTACCGGGGATGTTCCTGTATTATATTCGCCAGTGCCATTCCAGAATGCAGCTGTTTCTTCTCCAAAGGTTGGTGTTAGAAATATATGATGTGTGGTTCAATTTGTTAGACTAGCAGATCTCACTTGATCTTGTTAAAATTACGAAAGAGAATGCCCTGAAAAGATGCTTTTGTTTTGCTTAAACGGATGTGTAAGTCTATTGGTACTTTACAAAAGGAGGCTACAATTATCACCTAGTTTTTTTTTCCTTTGTTTCATCCAATAAAAGTGATGTTTGTTATTGTCATAGTATTTAATGAGTATTTCTTCATATTCGAACTGGAGTCATTGTATTCCTTTGTCAATATTGATTTCCAGGTCAAATGTATTCAGATGAAAGGGACAGAAAATGTTCCTGCTCCATCTATAGGATTTCCAAGTAAGGATGAAATGGTGCAAGATTCCTCTGGTCTTTGCCATATTATTGAAATTAAGGATGCATATCTTCCACCTTGGATCATCAACAGAGTATGTGCTATCATGGGGGCTGAAGAGAGAAGCTTTGAAGTCAGGTAATTTAGTCATTATATTTATTTTAATTTTATGCTGGTCTCTAGTAAGTTTTGATGCACTTGACTATGCTACTGACGTAGCATAATGTAACGAGGTAGTTAAATAATTAGTAACTAGATATATTATCCCCTTAATTCTTTATGAAGTCTTGTCTAATTATTACTTCAGTCCTAAAACTATAACCCTTAGTACAACTTAGTTCCAAGTGATTCTGTTTTTGCCACAGTTAAATCCTGAAGGCTGTACTGCAACAAGTAACCTTCATATTTGGAATTCATTTAGAGATTCATGCTTTTTTATTTAGAAAAGGGTAAAAATCCCTGATAAAATGATAAAAATCTCCACATATTAGTTATAGTGGAATTGTGACAATACATTTCAAAATTCCACAAGAATTTTTCACATTTGAAATGTATTACATCAATTCCACTAAAAATTTATCATTTTGTAAAGTATCTCTATTATTTGTTAGTTAAAAAGGTATAATTTTCAAATGAATTGTATGGTCCAAACATAGCATAAGCTAATATTCGTTTCAACTCTTGTAATTAGTTATTCCCTTGTTTAGAACTAAACAATGACTGATGATCTGAGAGCTGCTTGTAAGTTGTAGGAAAAAAAGTTTAGAGCTAATTTGTACACAGTTATAATTTTGGTTTCGAAATTCACCTGCTGTTTTGTCTATTTGGGTATTCCAGCTTTACAACAGAGCGGACATCAATCGGCTTGAACGTTGCTCTTCGTGCAGTTTGTGAGAAGCCTGAAACTGAAGCTTTGGTTGATGAAGGATTGCGAGAAATAACAGAAACTTTTGGTATTCCAGAATCCATAGTTACACCTTATTTGTGTTCAGGTCAATTGAAAGGCTTGAAGTACTGTCAGGATTCTTATACGGTTTCTCTTTCTGCTGCATGATAAATTCAGCAGTGAAGTTTCAGAGGGAGATGTGTTTTGATTTATATAGTGCTTCATCCCTCTGCTTTCAATCTTATATATTTTGGATTTTGTATAATGCCACTTTGGTGAATGTAATTGAATACCGCTTATGGTATATGAAAGACTGCTACCATTTCTGAGAACAGATATACTGTAACTTCTGTATTCAAGATTTGAATTCAGAACTTAATTTCATGTGAAATAATGTGTTTAAGAAAAGATTTTCCCAATTCAGATGACTTATATTCCATAAACCATGTAATTTCTACCAGGCTTCGGTTCTAATCCGGGAAATCAACCCCTCACCAGATTGAAAAGCATGGCAGCATACAGTAGTACACATTGCCAGTAGGCTAGCAACGCATCAAAGGAGTTGAATTCTTGGACATCACAATTGTATTTTTCCATCGCTGTAAGATTTTTGAAATTGGTTTTCAGTTTATTTTGAATTTCAGTTTAAGTTTGAGCTTGACTCATTTAAGAAATTTAGAATTCGAATTCCAGATTTGGGTTCCAAATCAAATATTTCTGCCTTTAGGTTCTACTTATTTAGTTTAACAGTTTCTGGCTCGAGTTTTTCCCAAACTTACTATGATCACATTCAAACAGTTTGACTTGAGTTTGTCTCATATTTGATTATGACAAAAAATATAAAGCAAAACAATTTGCAAAATGTATTTGATACTGTTTGATTTAAAATTTGTGAAGCACCCAGGAAAAAATCAATTACCAGTAATCCGTACAAGAACAGGCACCCTCCCTAAAATGATGGAACCTATTTCTGTCTCTCACTATAAGCTCCCGCCCATAAACTTTCGAAATCAGTTTTGTAGCCGTGTGACAATCCTCACACACCCTCAAATTCTTCACTATCCTAATCGTTGTCCCAGCATTTGTTTTCATAATCCCAAATGCGATGGCAAGCTTCTCGCTATGCCTGTGAAGAGCACTCTCTTTCTCCTCCTCGTCTATGTCAAAAAATGCATCAGCTGTATTCCCGGTGTACCCTGCCAATCTTATCTTCCTGAGAATCTCTTCCCACATTCTCTCAATCTTCTTCATTTCAGGGTGTGTAAAATCTCCCATGGTAAATTTATGAATCTTTTTGTCTATCTCAATCAAGCTGAAACCAGGCGGCTTCTTGACTCGTTTATCCTTCATCAACTGTCTCATATTCTCAACATTTTCCCACTTGTTTGCTCGAGCATAAATATTCGAGAGCAGAACATAATAGCCACTATGTTCTGGCAGCAATTCAATCAGTAACTTTCCTACTCTCTCAGCAATTTCTGCATTCTTATGAATCCGGCAAGCGCCAAGCAATGCTCCCCAAATTGGGGCATTTGGCTTCGTGGGCATTTCAAGGGCAAATTTTTCAGCTTCTGCCAACTTCCCTGCACGGCCTAACAGATCAACCATACAACCATAATGCTCCAGCCTTGGCTCAACGCCATAATCCCTTTTCATGCTCTCAAATATCTCCAAACCTCTTTCCACTAGACCGCCATGGCTGCAAGCTGATAACACAGCTGTAAAGGTAATATCTCTTGGAGTTAATCCTGACTTGATCATTTCCAAAAAGTAGAACACCGCCTTCTCTGCAAACCCATGCATGGCTAGTCCAGCAATTAAAGCCGTCCAGCTTAAACTATCCCTCTCTCTCAGTTCCTCAAAAACCCGAATAGCTTTCTCAATGCTCCCACATTTTGCATACATATCAACAATGGCAGTTCCAAGGATCACATTCATGGCTAAATCATTCTTCAACACATAATCATGAGCTCTTTCTCCGAGCTCCAATGCGCCTAAATGGGCACAAGAAGATATCACACTCACCATTACTGTTTCATTAGCCATCACTCCTTCTTCCTCAAGAAGATGAAAGAGCTCCATAGCTTTATCAAAGTGGCCATTTCGAGCATACCCACTAATCATTATACTCCAAGTAACCAAGTTTCTCTCCGGCATTTCATCGAACACCTTACGCGCAGACTCTACGTCCCCGCATTTGCTATAGCCTGCAATCATCGAAGTCCAAGAAACCACGTTTAAACAATTCATCGTCTCAAAAATCCTGCTCGCAGCGTTTATATCTCCACAAGTAGAGTACATATGAACAAGCGAGTTCTGCACATACACATCTTGTTCGAATCCTCGCCTGATGATCTGACCATGGCCTTGAACTCCCATATCCGCAGCGCCCAGTTGAGCAGACGCTCTGATCAAGAAAGGAAGCGTTAGGTTATCGGGAAGCAAGTCAAAGCGAAGTAACTGGGTGTAGAAATGGAAGGCCTGGTGTGGGTTTTCGCTTCCTGAGAATCCACGGATCATAGCGTTGAATATGAATAGATTCGGGTTTCGGATCTGGGTAAAAACCCGAAAAGCGTAATCGAGAAGGGTGGTGTTTAATGCAGGGTTGTCTACGCAGGAAGCGATTAGCCGGCTGGATGAGAAGATGTCGAAGATTATGTGAGTTCTTATCATGAAACCATGGATGATCTTGACGTGGGAGAAAGGGGGACATGATTCGAGAAGTACGAGTTTCGGATTCTTTAGCGAAAGTGTCTTGATTATTGAGTTCCCAGTTCCGTTCATTGTCTGAAACCAACATGATTTTTAAGGAATCTTGAAGTGGTTTCCGATGTTGTCTGCAAGTGAATGCTTACCTTTAGAGCTTGTTTGTACGTTGATTCAGCGATGAGTATGTTTTTTTAATGATTTTTTTTTATTTGTTTGAATTTTTAAATATATAATATGTTTTTTTTGCTGGTTGTATCATGATTTTTAAAATTATAATTTATTTTTTATTTTTTTAGACTACCACTAAATTTAAGATGATTTAATAATTTTTTTTTATTTTTATTATTATTTTTATTTATAAAATTATTTTTATTTAAAATCATTTTAAATCATTCAAAAAGAGCCAACCGCACATCTCTTCTTCTTCTTATTTTATTGTATATATATATATTTAATTGTATATTTTTTATTATATAAATATATATATATTCAATTAAATTTATATATTTATATTTTTAATTATATATACATTTATATAATATATTTCATTATATTAATTTTATTGTATATATATATATATATTTTATTATTATATATAATAAAATATGAATAAAATACTCAATTTACTTAAATATACAAGCATACCATACTATTAATGCAAACAAAAAAAATCACTATTAAATATTAATAGATCATTATTTAAATATGATCAAATTTAAACATTAATAAAAGTTGCACATACCATACCATATCCAACATTAATGAACCATCAAATACAGTTATCTGAATTTTAAAATACAAACATATGAATATTTAAGATTAAATAAATCTAATTAAGAATAAAAATTAAATTACAGTTAATAATTTCATCTTTTTATTTATTTAATTAAAAACATTTTTCTAAAAATTTATCTTGCAATTTTAGAAATAAAAATTAAACCTATTTAAACTCCCAAAATTCATTTTCCTATTAATTTTACAAATTTTTTATCTTTGAAAATAAATTCTATAAACATGTGTAAAAATTAAAATAAAAAATAAAATTAAATATCAAACTTAATTTAAACTTTATAATATCTTACTAATTATTTAACGGTTGAACTATTGATACTTCATTTCTATAAGAAATTATAAATCTAAGTTAGATTATATATTTTTTTATATTAATATTGAAAGATTGTGCTATAATTCGTAGATATATATCGTCTAATTAATGAAATGTGTAAATTTATACCGTGAAACAAAAAAACTAGACAATGTCCTTCTATATATGTCACTTAACATTCGAAAATTCAACTCTTGGCAATTTCCTTCTTTCTCAAAAGAGGATAACAAAAGGTAAGAGAATGAGGAAGTAATCAATGTCAAAACTGTTTCAAATCTAGAAGTGGTGTGTTCTTGGGTATTCATTTAGAAGGAGAACTTGAAAGCACCAGCCTTGGAATCTTGTGCTGAATCCCAGAAGGAAACTTTCTGTTGTTGAGCCTTCTTCTCCTCCGCTACCTGCAACAATTGGTTGATGGTCCCGGGGAAAGCTGCCTCGAAGGCATTCTTAAACTTATCGTGCAAATTCACTCTATCTCTTGTTCCAGATACAAGGGTGCTGGCATTTGGCCTCTTCAGAAAATTCAACACATTCACCAAATTTCTCCTGAGTTACAGAGAGAAAAACAATCTATTAGAGCCTTTAAGACCAAAACAAGGATGTTACAGAAGGATACAAGCTTGTATTTGACATGGAGAGGCTATACCATCATTTCGAGAGGTTGTTTCACATAGTTAATGTGTGAGCTTATGAGCTAGAGATATTACAAAATTTTTCGATAATGTGTAAGCTGTACATATTGTTTCGGTAACGTAGGTTTTGACCATGTACATGTTGTTTCAGTATCTTATTCATGATGGTATGAGTATCACATCAATGTGTTAAATATGAAATGTAGTTGGAACCATTTCTCTACTTAAAAAGAAGACAACATTAAATAGAGACAAGAGGCATAGCAGTAAACACAGTGTAAAAGCACCAGTGTGTATTTTTTATAAAGACCTCTCCTCCGACATTTGCTGCACTCACTTCAATTCCATTTTATAAGTTATCTTTATGAAGGTAGCCAAATGCAGCCTATCACTTCACACTCCACCCTCTGACAACCGATCCCCTCCTTTCTCCTTTTAAAGTTAAAAAAAAAAACTAACACTTCAGAATGCTCCAAAACCTCTTAGTCTCTAACCAAAAGCACAGAGGTTCAAATCAATAATAGTTTCAGTTCTTACCAGTTACATGATTTAGGAACTTCCATAGGAACAAACTATAAAAATACTGTTTGCTTAATGGAAAATTCTAATCTGCTACACTATGCTAGTCATCCATGTCAGCCAATAGGTAACGTACTTATGATTTTGGAGGGGCACTAGGCAAGGTACTTGATACCTCTTTCCATCATTCAATTCCACAATTAGTACAAATCATTTGGAGGAGGGGCCGGAAAGGGCCAAAGGGAGAGAACTGCGTAAAATTTGCTTGACTCTATGGGTTCAAAGAGGGTTCATATTTTTTACAAGGGAAAAAAAATTCATGCACAGAGTTACTCTTAACTTTTATTCACAAGAGAATGATGTAATTACTGCTCTGTTGAAGAGACAAAATTCAATTAGATGCAAAGGCCAGGAGACATTAGTCACCTATTCCATTCAACCAATGATGCAAAAATAATTGAACATTTTAGGTGTCCCTTTTCTTCTCAAGTAAGGTGACTACTGTAACATTTTAACTTAACTGAGCTAAGGATATCTTCAGAAGGAGCATACCTGCTGACATAATTCTGTGTGATGGCAATTGAGTCCTCCAAGTTGATGACAAGATGCCACCATCCATTTGGAACAAATATCACCTCTCCAGCCCTACAAATACACTCAATAGGTCTCTTTTTCCAGTTCTTTGTAGCACCATAGAAGTTCATGAACCACTCTATTATTGAAACAGGACATGCCACCTCAGCCCCATCCGGGCTAGGGTGCACACCTGGAGGAACTACATCTGGTGGGAACAAAATCCATTTCTTAGACCCTCTGATAACTGCATTCCAAGCTGATGTTGAATTAGGATCAATGTGGAAAGATGATCCAGACCCGGCTGGACCAATTATTATCCACCTATAATCAGGTCTTTCATCCCCCAAAACATTAAACAAATCTTCCCTGAAGTAAACTGGAACATCATACTCCAAACCCAAAATTGGAACTTTCTCTGCAAATTTTGGATCAAATAAATACAATGGTCTCTCTTCCCTAACTCGATCGGAGTAGTCAAAGTAATCCTCAAGCTTCATTTCTACTGGCCCAACTGAAAACCTTACATCACCACACACCTCTACCAAATAATCTTTGTTCCATTTTTCCAGTGCAGCCCAATTATCCATACAGCCTTCCAATAATACTGGCTTATTTGGTTCCTCAAAATTCAACATAAATTCTTCAACAGAAATCCCTTTCTTTCGAATTATATTATCTCTCTCAAGCCATTCCGGTCTCATTTCGAGACTAGCACATAACCAACTCTGAAACAGATAGTCCGAGTAAAAGTCTCTAACCCTCAGACCCGAAGCATCGATAACGGAAACATCAAATGATGGAAAACAAGAAGCAACGTAAGTCGTTTTCCATGAACCTCTAAACGAAAATCCACCATTTAACTTATCCAATACAAAATTCCTCCAAAGAGGTTCGTGGTTAATGAAAACATAGAAGGACTTGCTAACGGTAGCCAAAATCCCCAAATGAGTTCCATCCAAAAGCCCTAGAATATCAATAACCAACTCATCGGTTAAGGTCTGGAGAGTACCTAGACCTGTGTTCCTCGAGTTGATTGTTCCAGGATTGAGGTACAGATTTCCTAGCGGCTGAACACTATGCATGAGTGATGGAGCTGAATCCTTGAGTTTGAACCCTTCTTCATTTCCCCTGTCATCTTCTTCTGCGAGAAGCGACTCTTCCTTGGTATTAACATGTTTCCGCTTTTTGGAAGAAGATTTTACGCTTTTGCATTTGCTGTTTCTTTTAGCTTTTAGCTTTTTTCTTCCTTTCATGTTCTGCAACAGCAAGCTTCTGCAACTCAACATGGCAGAGGTTTTGTGGCGCCGTTGCAATGCTGACAATGGAGAGAAGTCGTAGGAGGGATTTCAAACCAAAAAAAAAAAAAAAAAAAGAAAAGAAAAAAGAAAACGACGTCGTAAAGTCTGTTCATGAAACCTGAACAATGTTGGGTCAACATTAATATTGGATACCAAAACGGACAGCCCATAATGATAACGGGTCGGGTCTAAATTTTAAAATTGGGCCTAAAGATAATAATGGGCCGGGTCATCCATTTGTAAATTTTTAAATAAATTTTAAAAAATAAATCTATTCATTCAGAGTATAATATATTTTATTTTTATTTTTATTTTCTTTTAAATCACGTTTTTCTTGATTCTTTAATCATGATCGTTGATGCAGTGGAAAATTAGCAAGTCACTCTACCATCATGAGCCTTGTGTATCAAGTTTTGATGAGTACATCTAGGTTGCTCAGCCTGAAGCTCACCATGATTGGGATATGGCTATTCGTACAGGAAGATGGCCCAGAAGAAGAAGCTTCCTGCCTCTCTTACCCAGAAAAAAGACATTAAAAACGTAGAATCTGATTCTCATTCAAGAAAAGTAATACTACTTTTCAATTATAGTTCTATAAAACCAATGTACAGAATCATGTTAGTGCTAAAATATATATATATATATATATATACACATATATCTATGCAATACTGAAAAAAATCCCATTAGCCACATGTTATAATCCCAGCTTACCCATGAAAATAGTTGATGGACTATATCTATATAATACAAAGGTACTGAGATTAATTGGATCCAAGCATAAAAGTTGCAAAGT